AGAGAGAGAGAGAGAGAGAGAGAGAGAGAGAGAGAGAGAGAGAGAGGAGCACGGGGTGGGGACGGTGTGGACAAGGCTGTCTTTTATGACATGGTTGATTTAGCTCTCAGTTGGAAATGGAAGCAAAGACAGGAGACAATGAATGAACCAAAAATCTAGGGTGTTTCCAAGGGGCTCTTGGTTCAACCTCTTATGCTCATCTCTGAACATGAATGTGGGCCCTGGGCCATGAGTTAGGGACATAAGCAATGACACTATGTGTCCTACTGCTGTGCCATGCCACGTGGGATTCAATAGCACTCTGTCTCTGTCAAATCACTTAGCCCAGGCTGGCCTTGAACTAACCTCTTAAAAAATTTATTTATCTATGAGTGTTCTGTGTGCATATAGGGTACATGCCAGAAGAGAGCATCGGATCCCATTACAGATGGTTGTGAGCCACCAAGAGATTGCTGGGAATTGAGCTCAGGACCTCTGAGAGAGCAGTCAGTGCCCAGCCCCTTGAATTCATGATTAGCTGAGGGTGGCCTGAACTTCTGATTCTCCTTCTTAAGTGCTAGAATTATGTACCTGTGCTGCCACGCCCACTTTGTGGAGTGCTGGGAACCAAACCCAGGGCTGGAGGCTGCACCAGTTTACTGGCTCACTCACACCCCCAGCTCTCTCCTTCTCTTTACAAAGATGTTTAAGGTTCAGCGTGTCTGTAGCTTCCCTGTTTGAATGATTGGATGTACCAGGATGTTAGCCTGTGATCTTAGGTTACTGCGTTTGTTTTCTTAGATTGCCATCGCAAAGCATCACAGACCAGTAGCTTAACCAACAGAAATGTAGCCGGGCAGTGGCAGCACACGCCTTTAATCTCAGCACTCAAGAGGTAGAGGCTGGAGGATCTCTGAGTTCAAGGCCAGCCTGGGCTTCGGAGCTAGTTCCAGGAAAATCAAGGCTGCACACAAAGAAACCCTGTCTTGAAAAACAAAACAAATAAACAAAAAGTAATAGGAATTTAGTTTCCACATATACACAGTACCAGAGTTTAAAACCCAATTCAAGATGCCCAGCCCCCAAGTGTTGGCAATGTTGGCTTCATTTCTGACCCCTTTCTCTTTAGTTCATATAGGATGCCTGTGTCTTCACACAGGCCCCCTTGACCCATTATCCTTTCCTTTGAAGGACACCAGTCCTGTTGGACAAAGGCCACCCTAATGGTCTCATCTTGACTTCATCCTCAGTGACCATGCCTCCAGTGTTGTCACATTGGAGGCATTTGTAGGTTAGGAGTTCACATGGAAAAAATCTTTCCTGTGTATAAATAATTGCCATAACATACTTATTTCTACAAATCCAGCTAAAACCATGAATCGAAAGGGTATCAAATACATGGAAACTTGTCCGATGCTGTGGGTGATAACAGTGATGGGTAATCAATCTGTTTAATAGAGGCGACAGGGAACTGTCAGAGAGTCCCGTGATTCCTACATTGCATTACGTTTTTATTTGTTTATCTTTCTTAATGCCCATAAAGCACTTGGAAGGCGGAGGCTCCCAAGGTTCTCGAGGGGATCAGGAGACCAAGGTCATCCCCAGCCAAATTGTGAGCCCTGGCCTAGCTGAGACTCTGTCTCAAACAAAGCAACATGCTTACAGAGAGACAAGATGAAAACTGCATGAGCAGGTGTGGTCAAGGGCTGAGGCTAGCCCCCCACACTCATAGGAACAATACCAGGTCCACTGGTGAGCACAGCTGTTGGTAAAGTGATTTTTGTAATCACTGCCCAATAATGATCCTCACTCTGGCCCTGAGGAGGAATTATGACAAGAACTGACCGGAACTGACAACCACTGTCTCACAGGCTCCTTACATCAGCCCCTTGCTAAATATGGGTGAGGTTTGCCCAAGGTCTGCTAGAGTGAGCTAGTAGGTCATTCAGTTTTGAGGTCAGAAATAAGTTTCTAGACTACTCAAGGATCAGACAGGTTCTTTAATCTTTATTATTAATTATTTTATTTATGTGAAAGGGGATTTTGCCTGTATATACATCTGTGCACAAGGTGCCCAGGGAGGCCAGAAGAGGGTGTCAGAGCCCTAAAAACTGGAGTTACAGATGGTTACAGATGAGCTGCCAAGTAGTTGCTGGGAATTGAACCCAGTTCCTCTGCAAGAGCAGCCAGTGCTCTTAACCACAGAGTCCTGTCTCTAGCCCCTCTTTATTTAAAACAAACAAACAAACAAACAAACAAACAAACAAACAAACGTGTTTTCTTTTATTTCCACTGCAGCCTTTGCTATGTTTCCTGTAGAGGCGAGGGCAAACTGAAAGCAAACTTGGAGATTTTATAGCCTGTCAGACCGAGCCACAGAAGGGGAAGCTTGCCCATCCTGTGCCACTGATAGGCCAATAGGAAGTAGCTCCAGCGTAGATAAGAGCAGTTGCCGGAATTGTATCTGCTTTTTGAAAATACTTCTTTATTGTATGTATGTGAGTACACTGTCGTTGTCTTCAGACACACCAGAAGAGCGCATTGGATCCCATTACAGATGGTTGTGAACCACCATGTGGTTGCTGAACTCAGGGCATCTGGGAGAGCAATCAATACTCTTATCCAGAGAGTCATCTCTCCAGCCCCCCTCATTTTTTTAAATTTTTATTTTATTTTTTTATGAATCAGATTAGTCTCTTTAAGGGAGGCATTTTTTTTAACTTCCCCTTTTGATAATTTCTGCTTAAGTTTTTCTGCATCCGTAGTAAGATTCCTAAGGAGGCCAGAAGAATAGGAAACTAGTAAATTTTGATCTGGTGGGAGATGTGGAAGACAGAATATTGAGATAGAAGGTCAGTTTGAAAGAGTTGCTCTGCCTGTTTCCCCATGAGGCAGAGCTAGTGTGGGTGTGCAGAGGGTATGGGGTGGGGGAAGGGGCGAACTTCCCCATTAGACTATACTATGCCATCAACCAGCAGGCTGTGAATGGGACCTTTGAGGAAGACAATGTTTCTGTCCATATATGGACTCCCTTTCATATGAAAAATTGTGATTATCACGCACGTTGTAGCATGATCCTATAATCCCAGCAATCTGGAGGCTGATGCAGGATTGTACATTCTTGGGCTGGGCTAAATAGGCAGCCTGAGCTCAAAAAAATTAAAATGGCCAGGTGTGGTGGCACCTACCTTTAGTCTCAGCATTTGGAGGGCAGAGGCAAGTGATCTTTATGATTTTTGAGGCTAGCCTGGCCTACATAGTGAGTTCCAGGGTAGCCAAAGCTACAAAGAGAGACTATGGAGAGAGACAGAGACAGAGAGAGAGGAGGCAGGGAGAGATAAGAG